TTACCTGTATATCCAATCAACACTCATGGAAGCAGCAGTCAAGAAATCAAACAATCTACTGCATTAGGCAAATCTGCTGAAAAATACCCCTTTTTAAAGTGTAAAGAGAAAGGATGTAACTTTGAGGATACAGTTGAATCTGACTCAAGCCATGGTATTTTCAATAGCCTCATATACACGCACGAGCCAGACAATGAATGATGAAAACTGGTGAAGAATTGGTGCATTTGAATTATGGTGTTGGTGAAGAATATTGAAAGTACCATAGACTGCCAAAAGAACAAATGAATCTGATTTGGAGGAAGTAAAGACAAACTTCTTGCAAATGATGATAGTGAGACTTTGTCTTTCACACTTTGGATATGTTTTCAGGAAGTACCAGTCTCTAAAGAAGGATATGTTTGAGAAAGTGGAAGGTCAGAAAAAAGAGGCGTAACCCCAATGAGATGGATTGATACAGTGATAACTACAATGGACTCAAACAAGAAAAATTATGAGGCTAGCACAGAACTGAGCAGTGGTCTGTTCTATTGTACATGGAGTCACTACGACTCAGAATTGACTTGATGAAATGTAACAACAAGAACAGATAGTAACTCGAAGCTTTATAAAGAAATAAAGATGGATAAAATGAGTCTGACAGGGGGACCCAATACAGTATAATCTGATTTATATGAAATAAGGAGTCCTGGTGTGGTGTTGTAGGATGTGTACTGGACTGCTAACTGCAAGGTTGGCAGCTCAAGTCACCAAGTCACTGCTCAGAAAAGCTATGCAGGGTTGCTGAGTCAGAACTAACTCCATGGTACTTAACAACTAAGAGATGTGAAGTAGCAAGAATAGGCAAATGCATAGAGATAAAGTATATCTGTGGTACCAGGGGGTAGGGGGAGAAAGGAATTATTGTTTAATGAATAGTGATTTTCTTTTTCAAGCTATGAAAATGTTTTGAAGGTGGATGGTGGTGATACTTTCACAATACTGTGAAGATAATTTCCCTGAATTGTACACTTAAAAATGGCTAGAATGGGAAGTTTTACCAGAATGTTTCTGAAAATTATGTCTACTGTTTTCTAGATACAGATTATAGACAGAATAAGAACCATGAGTTTACACCTGAAGGTATTTACAAATTTGAACTAATTTCAGGTTTGGAATCATAATTCAGAAGTGTTTTACTATTTGTCAGTATCCATTGCCTTTAGAATTAAACTAAGAGGATAGATGGCAACCTTATTTGTAAATTTCAAATTATAATTGGATTTAATAAGCAGATTATGGGTATAAAAAGCACTTCACACAGTATTGATACTGAGGAGCATGCATTCTCATTAAATGTTTGTTAAAATAAAAAGATTTCAGTGGCAAAGGTAAGCTTCAGAATAAATTTAAAGAAAATGAATTGTATAACTTATATTTTAAATACAGATAACCTAGTTTCCTGTTCATAATGAATAAGTATGAAATTAGAAATAATTCTTATAGTTTAATGAATAGAAAAATATGACAATATTGGACTTCTGGCAAGATGGTGGAGTAGACAGACGTGCTACACAGATCCTCTACAGCAAAGATACCAAAAACCAAATGAGAAGAAGCAGATGGTAGTTCTGGATACCTGGGCTTCAGAGGAAGACATAATAATAATAATAATAATAATAATAAAGTGGATTGAATGCTTACTAAGGAAGCAGCAGAACAGATAGAGTGAAAAACAGTGATAGACAGGTGAACTGTGTTGGTTGGCCAGATGCAACATGGCCATCTTGAGCATTTGTGAGTGACTTTGGAAGCATAGTGGCATAGATGCATACTGGTGACTTTCAGCAAGAAAGGAATTAGACAAGGATTCTTTTGTGGCACTGTAGGATAAGCACTGGACTGCAAACCACAAGATCAGAAGTTCAAACCTACCATCTGCTCTTCAGAAACCCTACACAGGGTTACTATGGGTTGGAAGTGACTCGCCAGCACTTAAAAACAGCAAAATTGATAATTAACCTGCAAGATAATGCACTGGACCACAAGGTCAGTTTGCACTAAATGCACCAGTTAAAAGCCATAGGGTAGCAGAATAGAAAAGTAAACAGAATTTGGCTACCTAAAATGAGGGGGTGATAAAGACATGAAATGACTGGCTTAGAAGGTTTCAAGGAGTTTAGTTTAAGAGTATGTGAGGGAAGATAGAGTCCCCGCTGAATAGTTTTTATCTTGTCTAGATGGGTCTGGTAAAAAGAGATGGGAGTAAGATTCTTATGATTCAATAGTAATTGTTATCATGACTAATTGCAACTGACCCAATTGTAAAGCTGGAAGTTTTGTAACAAAAATAGGGGAGTAGTTAATCTTACAGTCCAGAAATAAAGGACCCTAGGACCATTTATCAAGGAAGAAGAGCACAAGCAGAATGCAGGACCTTATCCAGAGAAGCATTGACGCCAGAGATGGAGGCAGAGATGAGGACATGGAGAGAAGGAGCAGCTGAGGACTATAGATTCATGGAAAAAGAGGGACTAAGAGCTGGCAGCCAGGAGGCAGACTTGCAGAATGTGCCCTTTGGTGGTGTAAATTATTATATATGCCTAAGTATTTAAAAGGAAAACAAAAAAGAGCTAAAGTGAATAGCGAGAAATACTGTTGACTGATGGCACATGGAGGGGATTATAATCATTGTAATGAAGCAAGGTGCATGATTTGTTGAATGTAAAACTGATGATCTGCCCTGTAAACTTCCTCTTAACTCACAATAAAAACTGGGAAAAAAAATTATACTAAAACAAAAAAAGAAGAATGGACTTACCGGTCAAAAAGAGATTGAAGGAACCGGAGACTCTGGCCCTCAGTCACCCTTCAGATCTAGAATTGAACTCATCCTTACGACTCAATTTTTAGGCAAGCATTAGATAGGTATATAGGGGGACAAGTACACTAGTAAGGTATGTTCACCATTAAATAGTTAACCATTCAAGATCAAAAAGCCAGGAATCACCTAAGGACAAAGTTCAGAAGGGTTGGGAAAGAATGAAAATAAGAGTCACAGGGAGGAAGGAGGATAACTTATGTTACATGGATGGGATTGCAATCATTGAAATGAAACCAAGTACATGATTTG